AAAAAAAAAAAAAAAAAAAAAAAAAAAAAAAAATAGAAGAGAAAGAACAGAGCTTTCATTAAAAATATTCGCCTCTCCCAACTGAAAACAAAAACAACAAAAAATAACACCTTTTGAGCAAAAAAAAGGTAAGAAGAAAAAATAAACTAATTAGACAAACGAAAAAAAAATTTTGTTTTAACAGCCTTTAACACCCTGTCTTTCGGATGCTTCTTTAGCTACACAAAGCTTGGAAGGATATATGCCAGTAAAAAGCTAAACCAAAACGAAATAAAACTGTATATACAAGAAATAAAATTAAAAATGAAAAACGATGATTTACTAGCATGTTCAACATAGTTTAATCCCGTTTTTTTAATTGAGTTAAAGCGATACAACAACAAACTGAAAGGTGAAAAACAGCTATTTGTACTAAATTTAACAAAAAAAAGATACACTCTTTTTTGTTTGCATTAAAAAATCTTCCCCCCTGTAAAAGCTTTTATCTTACTTTTGACTGCATAAACTTTCAGAACTGATAACAATTTTTTCTCATTCTCTACTTTTTTCTTCCCTTCTCCCCTTATTCCTTGAAAGTTTTCAATTATTTGTTGAAACGCATAAAAAGTCTTCTTTTTGTCGGTCTTCCCTTGTACAATCAAATAAAACAGTCAACTGACATATGCTGCCTTAAAACCTTAAAAAGAAGAACTAGCTAACAATAGAAACTTATATAACTTTATTCGAATAAATAAGAAAAAAAACCAATTTAAGTCCGACAACTAGTCTTACAAATTAATTTCACTCATTACTGCTACTGCCAAAAATAAAAATTTTTGCTCCAATTTAAATTAAATACACAACAACTGCACATAAAAAGACTACAGAACTGTCCACAATCTATAACTGGAGAGCGGCAGTTAAAAAATCTGCCAAAAGAGCTTTCAAAAAAAAAGACAAAATCTATTTTTATTCCCATTCCCATCCCTCACTGAAAACATGTCAAAACTTTGATGAAGAGGTATAGGAAGAAAAAAACATTTATATATTAGTTTTTTAAAAGTAAATACGAACATTGTGGGTAAAATTTTATGCACAGAAAATGGCAAAAAAAGTATCCCCTTCCATCCTTTTTCATCTTTCCTAACGACCACTGTTCATATAAACTCCTCATCATCAACTCTGTTCACTTTATCGTTCCCATGTTGTTACATCACATCGAAAGTTTGCTTTTCTTCTTGTTTTCAAAATAAACGGCAAAAAAAAAATGGACCGTATGTTTTCTATTTTACTTTTTTTGTTGCATTATTAGCTTTTTTCTCTCTCCCGCATTTCCGAGAGAACACTTCAGAAATAACATTCCCAATAGAAATAAGGTGTTAAGAACCGCTTAACAGATTAAGTTAGAAAGAAAAAATAATACAAGAGAGAGCAAAAAAACATCAACCAACCTTTGATCTAATCAAGCAGATAGATAAACAGATAGATAGATGATGAAGATGATGATGACAGCTGCACCGTAAAAGTGTAACGTAATGGTAAGCTGTTTCAGTAAAATACTGCTTAGTCTCTACTGTAAAAGAACAGTTAAACAGAACAACTCTTGTTGCAGATTCGTTGCTGTTGATGGTATTTGTCCGTACAATAAGCAAATATTATCCAAATAAATTCATCTTCTTGCTTTCTTGTAACGCCTTTTTCAGTTCTATCTTTTCTTGCTTTCCCACTTTTCCTTCTTCCTCCAATATCGAGTTATCGTAGTGAACTCGTGGTTATTTACAATTCCACGTTAATCACTCTCCTTCTGCTTTTATTGCAGTTATTGCGTTACTCCCAAATACCTTAAAGTAAATGTATAATTTATATAAGTCTTCCTCACATAGAGAACTACCGAAATCGGCATTCAGAAAACAAAAACAATTTTCTGAATACCCAACTCAGGTAAGCAAAATCAGTATCGCTCGCAAAATTAACAACAGTGGTAAAGATATTTTTGAGCAGATAAAGCATAACATGACTAGAAAGAAATAAAATAATAAAAAACAGCAGCAAAGGCACCACAAATAAATGTATAAAAAAATTAATAAAATTTTTAACTAACGAAAATCAATATCCGCATTTACTGAATCTTTAAACCACAACAACAAAAGCATAGGCAAAAATAGCGAACATATAGATTTGGCCAACTCAGTGTGACAAATGATTAACAACTGCAAAAAAATCTCACTCGTATAGGTTTTTTCATTGAATTAGGAAAAAGAACACTGCCATTATGCAAAAAAAAAATCTTACTTTTATATATCAAATAAGAAAAACAGAAAATTTATAAAATTTTTATAAGGCTATTTACGTGCATTTAAGATATCCGCTGTCTAAATGCGAATTTAGAAAAGTGAACATCCCACCCGTAAACGTTGCTCTCATACCATTGCAGAAATTTCAAAAACATGAGAAAACTATCGTTGTCAA